CCCTCCTTGACATGCTTTCTTTCTTTCTTTCTTTCTTTCTTTCCTTCTCTTCCCTCTTCAAATCAACTACAACAACAGCAACAACAACAACAACGGGAACGCCTCCCAGCGCCTCCCGTCTTCAAACCGGATCAGGTACTTTTTGTGGCTGCAGCTACTGGATCCCGGCTCTGTCTTCGTTGGCCAGGACCTGGCGACTTGTCGATCTCCGGGTCACCAGATCTCTGCGTTGGCAGTTCGATCACAGCGACTGAGAGGGTGTGAGCAGAAGAGCCCTTGCTCCTTAACCCCCGGGGTTCAACGCGCAGACAAAGTCGCCGTCCATAACTATGAGTATTCCGTAACAGCATTTATTCTTGCTTAGCGACCTTTGCGCCGATCGATACGGCATCTGTTCCCTTCCCCCTCCCCCCCCTTCTCGGCCATTCCTTCGATCTCACGCGTGATCTCTTGGGACTGCCGGGGGACGACAGGATTCCCTTGTTTTGGATTTCTCTCGATAACTTACCACTTTCTTAGCTTTTGCTTCTCTTGTGAAATCCCGTCATTGGGGATCTCCAATCCCGGTCTTTGACCGTGTTCTCGCGCCAGATGTTATCTGGATAGACCATGAGGTCAGCATCATGCTCCACGTCAACCATACGATTGCGCAACATCGTCCCGCGTCATGAGCCTCTCTCTCTATAGCTCCTAGAGTCAGTTGGTTCATCTACACCGGTCTCTACATACTTTAAGTACATACCCTTCTCATTTGGCCTAGACAGCCGCCGCCTCGGTTTCTAGACTAATGCGCCATCGTATTCCAAGGTCCAGGCCTGGTCGATCGGCGCCTATTCCTTGTCTGCCCCCTCTTCCTCCCTTTACCCATGCTCGTCACTTTCCCATGTGCAATATGCATACCGAGTACCTTCCTGTCTCAATGAATTGTGATGTCATGGTCATGATAGAACTATAAGTTAGTGCTCGAGCTTTGATTGATCTTCCGACCTTCCGCTCATCCAAAAGGAAACTCCAAAAAAAAGATAACGAAACTGATCCGCTGAGGATGGATAATCATCCAGCCTCTCAGTGGCAGACGTTTCCCCCCCCTCCCCCCCTGTCTTTTTCTCACGTCACTTTCTTCATTTCTTTTTTTTTTTTCCTTTCCCCGTCGTCATTCCCTTCCAAACCGCGTTGGATTCACAGGTTTAAAAAAAGAAGAAGAAAAATCCCCTGAATCCGACATATCGGCCCGCAACTTTTAAGGGTCACACGCCCTTGGAACAGGAAACTCTTATTTTGACATAGACGGTGTGTGTCGGACAATTTTATTTTTCGTTCCCCTTCTTTCCGCGGATAATCTTGTTTTCTGGAACAGTGGGCAAACACCCCCCCTGAAATCAGCCTCAGAGAGGAGGAGGGGGGCGGAGGCTGGACGTACGGCGTTATGTGTTCGGCATTTCTTTATACGCAGTAGTAGAGATGGATGTACTCCGTAAGTAGATGAAGATGTTAGTTGACGATGGTAAATAACCCCTGACTGGATGGCCGCAGAGGGGCGCCGGGGTTCTGTGACATCCACAGATCATGCCACCTCCACCTCCCACCAGAAAGTAATCAAACAGAGCAAAAGGTCTTCTTGTATCATCTGAGCTTTGTGGACATCCTGTTCATGAATGCAGAGCATTGGCTCTGGAGCTATAGAGGGAGACAAGATGCCGATAATATCGTCGGAACGGAGTTAATGTCTAATGCTTGCGCTCGCTGGCTCGCTCGCTTTACCTTACGGGCGAGCTAGCGAGCGTGCTTATTCTGTTGATTGTATGCAATTGTTACCTGTTGCTTCGAATCTCTGATGCCAGCGGACTGCTGGTTGACTGCCTGCCTGCCTTGCCCCTACCGCGTGTGCGGTGGCTATTATCTCTCTCCCTTTTGTAACCTCAGCCTGTACAGTATGATTACTAGTACTAGTACTATTTCTCGTCTTCGACGCCGATGGAAGGACGGACAGGGAGTGGAGGGATTTGCTACTCTGGTCGGCATTCTTGGGCGATGATGTCGGACAGGTGCGACGAGGGTTTGTGGGTCCGGAGGAGAGGAAGGGGGGAAGGAGAGACGTTCAACATTTGTGGTGTTTCTTTACTTCGGTCGGGGCTTTTGCTCTGGTGTGCGGCGGTGTATCTCTTAGCCTTTTTATCTACCTTGTTTGGGGTGTGGATGTAAGGGTTGTGTAGGGGTCATGGGAGGTTGGTTCGTGAGGATGGGTTGGGGTAAAGACTTTATGGGTATAAGGACTTTGCGTAGCTGGTACTTCTTAGGATGAAATTTGTTCGTTGTAACGGGGCTGGTCCCCATTGCTAATGTAAGGTGGTTTTCTTATGGTACATTGAAGGCGTTGATCCGAATTAAAAATGGTAAATGATGTAGTGGGCGGAGTTGAAAAGAACAGCCGCGAAGAAAGAAAAAAGAAAGAGGCGTCATCAATCCATCAGGTCAGACACACGAGAACTCTCTTATGCCCGAAGTGTCCTCAAGAAAGCGAGAGGGATAGGGAAAGAGCAGGGGAAATCATTTAGATTGCCTTCTCGGACCGACGTTCCCAGTGCACCATGGCTGGCTTCAGCGGACCTGAGAACATGGTCGAGTAGTCGGTTCCTGGAACTCCCTTCTTGCCCTCCAGGTTGTAGACCCGCAGATGGCGCACAAAGGTCGCAACGATGGTGGTCAGGTTGAGGTAGGCAAACTTCTCGCCAATGCAGCGGTGACGGCCAGCTCCGAAGGGGAGGTAGGGACTGGCGGTGCCCTTGGAGACGGCGCCGTAGCCGTAGTCAACCATCTCGCCGCCGTCTTCCTCCTTCTCCACCTGATCGTCCCAGCGGTGCGGATCCCACTTGCTCGCATTGGGGAAGAACTCGTCGCTCTGAGCGGTGACACCGGGTGAGGCCAGCAGCACATGGCCGGTGGGCACGACCAAGTTGGTACCGGGCACTGGCATGTCGCACTTGACCTTACGCATGATGGAATGGATGGACGAGTGGAGGCGGAGGGTTTCCTTGATGACACTCTTGTGCAAGGGCAGCTTGTCGATGTCCTCATACTGCAGCGGGGCGAATGTTCCGTCCGCTTCGTGGCGGAGGTTGGAGACTTGTTCCTGGTAGAGGTCATCGAGGTAATGAGGTTCGGAGGCCAAGCGAAGCAATATCCAAGCGCTGATGGAGGCACTCGAGTGCTGGCCCGCCAGGAGCAGGGTGATCATGATATGCGCGATCTCATGGTCCGGCACCGGCTGTCCGTTCTTGTACGTGCAGTGCATCAGGTTCCACATCATGTCGGATTTCTCCTCATCAGGGTTCTTGCGGCGTTGATCCAGGATCTCCGTGTAGATCTCGCGCATGCGGGCATGCGCCACGTCCCGCTGGCGGTTGTGCGGCAACGGCGCCCACGGCAGCATGAAGTTGATTGGACTAAAGCCCTTTTCGAGGTCGTGGTAGAGGTCGGCGAATTCGGAGGTCAGTTTGCTGCGGACCTCCTCCCCTTGCAGGGCGCGCGCTGCGGTGTAGATCGTGAGCTCGGACATGGCGGCGGGAACGTCGAACACCCCGGAGCTTCCCTGGAACCAGGGCGAGGTGCGCAGGAAGTCCAGCGTCTCCTGCTCAATCAATTGCACGTGCGATTCGAGCGCGGTTTGCGTGAGACCGTACTTGACGAATTTCTTCTGTTCCATGAGCTTGGAGTTGGGGCAGTCGTACACCACATCGGCTCCGAAGACCGGGGTGGTCAGGGGGGAATACACCTCCTCGGCGTTCGCGTCCTTGAGTTTCGCATTGAGGATGAATTCGTTGCCTTGAATACCTAGATACACCGTGGTCTTTTGTCCCAGCAGCACGAATGTGAAGATATCGCCGTACTGTTTACATCACCGTTGAGTCAGCTCGTACAAGTCCAGTAAATTGTGGCTGCGGAGGCACTGACCTTTTCTCGGTTGGAGAAGAAGAAGGCGTAGGGGTCCATGCCATAGGTGATGGTATTCCCCAAAAATGGAATCCAGTGGAAGACGACGGGGGGCTCATTCTTGTTCCGAAATAGCAATTGGCGCAAGACATTCAGCGCAACGATGATCACGAATCCTGCGGCCGCATAGGCGCTGGCGACAGCAAAGGATGTCATGCCGGTGGAGTGCTCAGAGATGAGTGGATTCAAACACAGAGCAGAGATGGTTACAAGAGGGAAGAAATCATCATCTGGACGAAAGAAAGAGTGAACTGGAGAAATGGAGATGAGAGAGGAAAGAAAGGCCAGGCAGATTTCCAGCGTCTCCAGATTATCCACTGCGCAGAGCTCTCCGTGTTATCTTATTAGCCAGGACTGCCAGGCACCAGGACCAGCAGAGCCCCTGGATATTGATTGACCGACCATTCACTGGCCAGTCAGGGAACAAAGAGCTCGGCATGAACATGGACCCAGAGCCGAGTCAGACCACTTGGACTGTGAACTGGAACAATAATAATAATGCTGTAAAACATCGAACCATGCTTGAAACCTCAGGTAAGGAGCAAAAAGAGTGCTTTGAGGGGAACTGCCTGGACTCGGTGGATGCACTGGAAATCTCCACACTTGCCCGTTTGGGCCATTCTCGAAGCAAATCAATCGTATTGAATACGCCTCCCTGCCATTGGTCGACCCACCAGAGAGGGGCTCTGGCCATAATCAATGCCTGAGGCAGCAACCAGCATTAACGCACCACACTAATTAACTACCTTATTATTGAGTACACAAAACTTATGCCAAAGAAAGGGCTGGGTACTGCAAGACTAGCTTGTGGAGTGAGACAGACACTCAGACACCTGCTCGAGATTCACTGCACTCACACTGTGGCAAGCAGGTGAGTCATGGAGGTGATCAGAATGAGTAATCAGTGGTAATCATGATGATGACGCTGTGCCCGTCCCATTCGAGACTAGCTTCGGCGGAGCTTGATCGCCGCCCTGGCCATAACTTATATCTACATCACATTCTGTATACACTTGGTCATTGTACATACTCCTAGCACATCTATTTGCCATCCAAGACTCAGATTGTCCCAGGCATTTGATCAAGATCTGTCTATATCGAAGAGCAACCATGAGCACCACGCAGTCCGGGAGCTCTGGCACTGCCACCTCTGGCTCACCCCACCGACCCATCTCAAAAGCAGAAGCATCGAATCCCAGAGAATTCCAGCTTAACCAGTTACGGCGTCGCTTTCGCCCACAGGAAAGCAGTGATGACGCCGGAACCACGGCGACTTTCGGGCTTACCCCCTCTGATCCCGACTTCCCCTTCGAAATGGATAAGCTACAGTGCATTCTACACGTCCCTCGAACTTACCCGACTCAAGGACGTCCCACGATCAGAGTCACCAATCCCGAAATGGGAAGCGCATTCCAAGAGAATGTTGCTAGAGGCTTCGATGACATTGTTGACAGCACCATCAGAAGCGGCAGCCGTGGGACGCTGCTCAGCTACATGAACACTCTAGACCGACATCTCGAGCGCTTGCTGACGACTTTGGAACGGGGACCTACGCTCAAGTTTGTGCCCAACACAACAGCAAGCAAACCACAGTCAGCGGTGGTCCAGAAGCTGTCACGAGACATGGAGTCGCTCGCTGTGTCTTCGTCAACCTCTCAGCCTCGGACCCAAGTGCTGTCGACCCCCAAACCTGCCCCGCTTCCGACTTACACCGCGGCTGAGAAGGCCCAGGCGGAAAAGCGACGAGCAGCGGAGACGAAACAATTAGAGGCTCGACTGGGTAGATTGTCTTCTTTCCAGAAGCTCAGTGACGGTCTCTCTTTTCTCATCCCTATTCAGCCGGCCAAAATCGATCGGCTACCTGTGCTCCTCCGGTCTGTGAAGGCTGTCAAATTGCAGGTGCCTCTATTGTACCCGCTTGAGCCCAGCGCGATTGAACTGAACAGTATGGAAGGCCCAGAGGCTCGAGCTGTCGAAGCAGGCTTCGGCAAGTGGGTTCAAAACAACTTAAACCTGAATCTGATGTCGCAGGTCAATTATCTCACCAGCAATATGCTTAATTTCTCCAAGACGCCAGTGGAAAGCGCTCCCGCTCCAGTTGCAATATCCGAGATTCCAGATTCTAAGCCATTAGAGGCAGCTGCAACAGGTCCGCCGGTTCCAGAATCCGTGGCGACGGACAAACCCCATGTCCATGTTGTGCCCCGACCTCCGGAATGGAACGTGGGTGGTGACAGTAGTGCTTCTGAGGAGACGGATTTCACCGAGTCTGACGAGGAACCCACGGAAGACGACGAAGACGGAGGCGCTCCTGTTCCCGATCTTCCCGAGCCTACCAATGTTGAACGCGGCGTTGCTCTCTCCTTCCCATTCCTGGAACTCTACGGGATTGAGCTTCTGGAGCTCGTCGGTCTTTATATCACAATTAAATGCGATCGATGCAAGGAGACGATGGATGTGAGAAATATTCCTCAGATCAAAGACAAAAATGACGAGCTGTCTCTCAAAGTGGAGACATGCAAGAAGTGTGCAAACACGATGAGCATGGGTAAGACGATGCGCTCCAGTACTCAACGCCTTAGCTTCAAAGATTCTCATTTTGATCTGTAGGATTCCGTCGTCAGTTGATGCATCCCACCGCGACTCGAGCTGGCTATCTGGACTTGGATGGATGCACTGTAGTCGATCTTCTCCCTAGGTAAGCAGATACTCTGCTTTGAACGGAGTGCTCCCTCTGTCATGGCCTCTGTTATAGTAGAGTATGCACTAACAACCGCTGCAGTAGCTTTATACCCACGTGCGCGGAATGCTCGACGCCATTTCCGAGCCCTGGAATTGTGGCGGTTCGTGGCGAAAGCGCAATGGCTAACTGCCGCCAGTGCCATCGCAAAATGGGTACGTATATTCTTGCCAAGGCCATTGATCATTCATTATACTTATCTGCGCCAGTTCTCAAGGTCCCGGAGGTGAAGTTTCTCAAAGTCGGGTCTGCAGCATGTAAGTATTCCAAGTCTCGCATCTAGGATCAACCCCCTCACACGTTCAATACAGTCTCTTCTCGTGATCGTCCCCCTCCCCGAAAGAAGGTATGATTCACAATCCAGATCTACTCGCAATCAAGCGCATACTGATATGATATCAGCCCAAGGAGGTCCTCGGCATCGTCGCCGGCCAAGAACTGCCCCGTCGCGGCCGGTGCTCGCATTACGGGAAAAGCTATCGCTGGTTCAGGTACGCCATCGCCTAGAGCCCACACACAAAGAAACGAAATAGTATACCCATGCTAACATCCTCCGCCCTACAGATTCAGCTGCTGCGCCAAGGTCTTTCCGTGCGACAAGTATGACACCCACCCCGCCATCCCATAAACATACTAATCGACTCCACAGATGCCACGATGCGGCCACTGACCACCCCAATGAACATGCAAACCGCATGATCTGGTAAGCAGCAACTACCGACTCAGGGTGTCCGCACGATAAAAACCTCGAAACTAATCTGTCATATAATTCAGTGGCTTCTGTTCCCGGGAACAAATCTACCGCCCGGAGAACTGTGGGATTTGCCGCGCCGTCCTGATCGGTAAAGCCGGAAGTGGCTTCTGGGAAGGCGGGAAAGGCACCCGGAATAAGACCCTGATGAGTAGGAAAGGTAGGTTGCGCGTTCTCCTCTATCGAATCTTAATTTTTCGGATTTGATATGCCCCTCTTGTGAGATTCTCCGCTAACGCTGTGCGAAACACAGATCCACGCAAGTATAAGCGTCGTGGTGGCACGACGCCTGGCGGTTCGTCCAAGAAGACTTAGGTTGTTCGGGCCTGAGGCTCATTCTGCTAAGAGCGGGTGAGATAGAGAAGTAAAGGAGGCCCTGCAATGAGACACACTTCTTGGTCCTGGGCGCTTGCTCGCCTCCACCCCCCGTATTCGTCCCGAGCTGCTGGCTTGTCCGTGGGCTGGAAGCATTTGTCCTTCTCGCCCCTTCTCCGCTGGGGAGGAGAAAGATGGAGGGTTACGGCAATGTGACGGATGACTACTGCTTCTGTTTTCGTGATAAATTATGCTGGACTGGCTAGCTGCAGGCTGGCATGCAAACAGGCTGACGTTAAGAGTCTCGTGGGCTGGCTGAAGGACATCATTGCCGTCTGGACAGCAAACTGCACATAGGTCATGGTTGACGAGATTTGAGGTCGTAGTTCCCCGAGAACCTGTAAATATGGAGTCGAGATGTCGATGGAGGTAGCCATTACGAATGATCGGTCGCGTATAGCGTGGATACTACATAGACTACATATTTCCAACTTCACAAAATCATACATACTCTGGACTAAAGAAATACTGAATCCTGCTGTGCGAAGCATCGCCCTAGGTGAGTTTTATCTTTCTAACGTTGCTGAAGCCTCGAGTTCGATACAACGCGTCCGTCGTGAAATAGTCCGAGACCTTGGTCAAAGATAGGTGTACCCGACGCGCACATAGCTTTTGCCATGCATCTTATAGCCAGCTCCTCTACTCGTCATTGATACTTCTGTAAGAGCTGAAATATTAGCCAAAGCTTCATTCCAACTAGCAGAACAACCCGACCAACATTCTCGGTTCCAGTACCTAAAAGCAATCCTCTTTGTATATACCAGAGTGCTTCCAGTATAAAGTCCTAGGCAATGACAAAGCTTGCCATACCCCCCTCACCTTCACTAACCCTCCCATACCCGTAGAGCTGACAAAGTCACCAGGGAAGCATACACCCAACCCAGAAGCGCACAAGGCTGCATACACAGACAGCAGAGTAGGACGAGCCATGACCGTATCATATAGGCTATAACATTCACCATCGTCCTAGTGGCAAGGCAGATCGTATTATCGCACTAGTGCGTATTGTCGTGCCTGCGTATAGAACGCAGCGGTGCCCTGCAGATCGTCCATATCTTGCGTCGTGACCGTCGCAGGCATGGTGTCTGGTGAACGTGTTTGTTTCTCTTTCTTTTTTTCTTCTCCCCTCTTCCTGTTGTTCTTCATCTTTCTCCCTGACTGCAAATTTTCTCCTTCCAGTTCTTTGAGCTTGATCCCAGACTTCACAGGGCTGTGGCAGTTGGCACGCTTTCCTCGTTTACAGAATAAGAAAGCTGTGCACACGACTATTGTCATCAGTAAAGTTCATTCGGGCTCACGTCCTGAAATCAAGTCTCTCAGATAGAGACCGGGTGTTGAGCAGTGTGAGCGGTCACACAGGGTGAAGTTCATCATGTTTAACCGCGGTAAGTATATCTTTCATAACCAAGGGAGTTGTCTTATAGGGGCTTTATGCATAAGCCAGTCTTCTTTGGGGATCTTTATGTTCTCTCAGCTTTGAAGCTGGCTTTATATGCGTGTGATTATGTTCTTGGGACCGTTGGGTTCTCTTTTCATCTGAAACTGCGGCAACAACAAGAGATATCTGTATGATGAAGAATGGTTCTTAGTTGAACAGGTTGACCGAGGAGGAGTCTGATATTGCGGCTTGATATCCTGAGTCGGGAGGGAGCCAAACTGAGTTTCGGAGACGAATTATGCTGACAATGCTCGAATCAGAGAACAGAGCCAGACGCAGACCATCGGGACGGCCACTGCCCACTGTCCCGCAGATTCTCGAAGGCATTGAGCTGGAAGAAGTGGTCGATTGTCTGCCATCAGTTCACCAAGTCCTCAGCAATCGTGAGGCAGCCGATTCAGGTTCAGGCGTTGTCCAAAGATCTTCCAACAGACCAAGGCCATTGGTCAGTGCATCCCTTCATCTCCTTTTGCTCAGTGCCATTCTTTATGAGAAGATGAATGACTTACGGTTCTCTCATATCAGACGTTGGATGAAGCCAGTGTGGAAGCATTTGCAATCAACCGTTCTCCACATGGACAGCCCGCTAGAACCACGCGACTTCTTCCACCTCCTTACGGCTCATATCATCCACCTAGAGCTGCTCTAGTGGCTGCACATTCCGCCCATCCTCTCCTACAGCAGCCTCCGGCTTCCACCGCGGAAGGGTCGAGGCTGACGGCCGCACCGGCTGCTCCTGTCATCGTGGTGACCGATCCCGATGGTGATCAGCGAGCCCTAAGCACGGAAGACGATTTTCTCTTTCCAGTGCCTCCTCCGGTGTACTCATCGCCCCAACCAGGTATTCCTCTTCCCCATGTAGCCGAAGAACCCCGCGGACAAGCTTATGACATATTAGAGGAGTTCCGGGAGGGGCAATCCCGCAGATCCACAGTACAATCCTCCCACCTCTCCCATCATTGGCAGCCTCGGCCGGTCCGCAACTACTCGTCGTTTGCCGGAGGGTACCCGCAAGACAACGGGATGGGCCACCGGGGTCTGTCCCCGTCCCCGTCCCCTCCCGGCAGTGAGGTCGTGACCGTGTTCGATGATCAACCTGCTCGGACGGCAAAGTGCGATGTGTGCGATGGCCGCAACACATCTGGCATGAGCAGATGTACGGTGTGCAAGTGGCAGTGCTGTCACAATTGTACCATCCGCAATGGACTTCGCCGATCTCACATTGCCGGGAACGTAGTGCATGTGGCGCCGATCACGCGGGAGGAACTATTACAGAGCAGCACGGAAGCCAGTAGGGCGACACGCAGAACAAAGAGAAAGAAGAAAACGAAAAAGGTGGGTGGTGGTGGTGGTGCAAGGGCGAGTGCGAATGCGAGGAACAACCGCGATTTGGATTCAGTGGGAACAGCCACCGAAGCAAGGTACAACGTGGAGGCAAGTGCTGGTAACTATAAGTCGTTCGTCGATGGGGAGGTGATAGTGCGAGACTTCGGAGCAGTGCCGGAAGCAGAAGGTACGGCGAACATCCCCGCTGGCAGGAACTACAACCGCCGCGAGCCCATCGCTCAAGGCGAACTGCAGCCCATTCGCACATTTCCCAAACCCAAGCAGGGCCAGCAATTTGTCAGTGCAGCGCATCCTCGCTACAGCCACGAGCTCATTTGGGGTCCACCGGCTGGCATCGATGACGCCTTCACCCACAACGCAGATCGTTTTCACCTCCCAGCCACTCCACCTGGTAGACCCGATTACAATGATCAGGAGCTGAAGGATGCGGAGGAGCTTCTTGCCTTCTCAACCGCGGCGACAGCGATAGAAGCAGTAGAGCGAGGTATGTCCCCCGAACATGATGATACTCACAGTCCGGTACTCGATATCTAACAAGGTATACATCTCGCAGCCGGAGGTATTCCAGATAAAGGTCGCATTATCGAAGACGCGAGCGCATTGGCCGAGCAGGAAGTTAAGGAGTACAAGCAGGGCCGTGCGTTGGAAATTCTCAGGAGTATGAATCCGAACCAGCATCAGGAACTCGCGAAGCACGATGCTCTGCAGGTCGAAGCGGAAGGTACTGTGGCAGCCCGCACTGCTGCGCGTCTCAGCCACTTTCCTGGTTCCAGTCGCTAAGCGTAAGTGATCCCATCCCCTCGTTGGGATTCTCCGGCACGGATGCTTGCTTATGGTTCTCAAGCAGACTCACGTCTTTCCCCTCAACGTCACCTATAGATTGGAGAAGCAGCCGTGGCCGAGCATGCTAGATCTAATCTTTCGATACTAGAGCTGAATCTTAAAAAGTTTCTTGTTGGCAAGGGTGTTGCTTTTGATCGGAGATGGAACGGCTCGGGGATGATAAAGCGGCTGATGTGGGACGAGATATTATGGGGGTTTTTAGCTGCGTACGTTAGGTTCTCAGGTTCATCCTGCAAAGCTTCTTATCGCTACAGGATCTAGTAATAATGCGCAAGATAGCACTGAAAATGCAATGTTATTGTACAAAAAGAAAAACAAGCTCCGAAAAGTAGAGAGGACGATGGGTTATAAGTACAACACAAGAGAAATCGAGGAGCCACTTCAGGCGGTACTGTGGCGGGCCCATACACATGCATTTCTTTCGTCAACGATGCCCGCAATCCCTATTCTCAGGGATTTGACAGAGACAAGATTCAAGCCTTCTTGGCAGCCTTCTTGGCAGCCGCAAACTGCTGTCTCAGCTGGAGCAGCTTAAATGTCCGGGTTGGGCGCCAAACACGGCTGCCCAGGACCAATACCCAAGTGAGCAGGAGGAGACTTCCCGCCTGGTGAGCGGAGGCCAAGGGTGTGGGAACCAGATAAAGCAGGGTCGAGATACCCAGACCGACCTGGCAGAAGGCGAAAGCGACCACGCCGTGAACGCCTCTGCGGGCCGAGCGGCCCATCACGCGGTTCACCCTAGGGACCTTGCTGTAAGCCCACAGGGCCATAATGCTGGTGAAGGTAGTCATTGCCAGGATGCGGTGGTCGAGCTGGACCAAGGAGGGGTTCTCCAGCATGTTGCGCCACCAGAGATCCGAGCGATCCTCACGCTGGGAATAACGGGCATCCAAGAGTTCCTCCTTGGGAGGGGTAAGTCCATTGCCCATGTAGGGGAACTCATTGTAAATGAGACCGGCGTCGAGACCGGCGACAAGGGCACCAGACATGGCGGTAACGAAGACCAGGAGAGCCACACCGGCCACAGAGCGACGGAAAACCGTCAGGTGCTTGGAATGGAGTTTCTTGAGTTGCTTCAGACCCTTGTTCACATCGGAGGCGAGGCGTTGAGAGCGCAGGATAGCAAGACCATTCCAGAGCATAGCAGTGTAGCAGACGAAGGCGGCGCCAAGATGCGCGGTGAGACGGTACTGGCTGACGCGAGGGTGGCTGCCGGGGGCGAAGAGGTCTTCCTTGAGTCCAGACGCAACCATCCACCAACCCAGAAATCCTTGGAAACCGATCAAGCCTGCGATACCAGCAAGGCGCAGAGCCATGGGCTTGCTGACCTTCCTTCTAGCGACGAAGTAGATAGCCGGGAGCACGAACGAGAGACCAACAAAGCGGCCCCAGAGACGGTGAATCCATTCCATGTAGTAAATTGACTTGAATTCGGAGAGCGTCATGTTCGGGTTGAGAAGCTGGAATTCGGGGGAGGCACGGTACTTGGCGAATTCGGATTCCCAGTCTTCGTCATTCATAGGAGGGATCGATCCGGTGACGGGGCGCCATTCTGTGATACTCAAACTATACACCAAGTCAGTATAAGCCTCCGCGATCAATCATTGAGAAGACACATACCCTGATTCCGTTAATCTAGTAAGGCCTCCGAATACAACAATACCAAAGACGCTGGCAGCACTAGCCAACAGCCAGTAGGCTACCACCTTGTGAGTGAGAATAGGAAAGAACCGTTTCGGTGCTTGCTCGGGAGCGGCGGCAGAGGCAGCAGACTGAGCCTGGGCGGGCTGGGCGGGCTTCGAGGAACTGGCAGGCTTGGGAGATTTGGCAGACTTGGAAGACTTGGAGGACTTGGAGGCATAGTTTCTCAGACTAGAGGCGAAAGCACCCTTGGCTCTGGCGCGCAGAGAAATGGTATCGAGTGCAGTGCGAGCATTGTCCGGCGCAAAGAACTGCTTGCGCAAAGCGGAAGTGGATGCATAACTCTGGGTTTTAATGAGGCATGGGCGGCAGGTGAAGAATTCCTTTGACAATCGGGGGGCAAGACTCCGCAGCAAAGGCGCGGAAGGCCCCAGGAACGCCATGGTGACGGGTGCCAGGAACAATTGGGACCTGATATGGATTGAGTCGCGGTGTTGATGAAAGTTGGCGGCCGATCAAAAGATCTTCGGAAGGCGGAGGCGGAGCGGCCGAGAGGCACCGTCCAATCAGATATGAAGGATTTGTCGCGAGTCAATTAGCCCATAGTTCGCTACTTGATGACAGTTACTGGGTATTTGGATGAGCAATTCTCGTTCATTTGAAGTTTTTTGTTATTGCTGCTTCTAGAGTGGCCAGTGTACAAATATCGAAATCTCAGAGGTAAATTGATTGTAGTAAAGTTCTGTAGAAAAGGTTACTTATCCAGTGCAAGCCTTCTGGCCTCAGGCACAAAGTCTTAGACCCTGTAACTATACCGTAGTCCCTTTTCTACTCCGTACATGGTCCTCATCTGAATTTGTCTATTTCTGATCCGACATAGATTAAGCACAATCTACAATCCGCAATCCGACAACCAGCTCAGAGGAATCACCCTCCATAACCCACTAATGGCTATTAGAAAGCCATCTCCTGGCCCTTGACAGTAACAAAACGACCACCAACAGACTCTCTTGTTGCGCCATCGATCTAAGTAGATTGCATGTTAGCTTCGCCATGGCAGATAAAAAGCGATTGACCACAAACCAGCTTGACTATTCCGTCCGCACATTCATCGACCTCACTAAACGCAGAGTCCAGTCCAATACTCCTGGCAGCGGCATTGCCCATAGCGGTCTTGACGAATCTGCACACAACCAAGTCAATAAAGCAACACAATACATCATTACCATCACCAACACCACCCCCTCGTATCAAAACATAGTACTATCCCCAACTCACCCCGGATGGATCATAAAGCTCACGAAACCCGGATTCTCCACATGAATCTTCCTCGTGATCCAATTCGCCGCCGCCTTGCTGGCGCCGTACCCCCCACCGGGGAAGTACTCCTCATCCAGTCCGGCAATGCTGCCCATGAAACTGCTAATAGTCACGAACTTCGGCTGCTGCTGCTGCTGCTGGGAGCTCTTGCCCAGGGGCTTGAAAACCGCCTGAAAGAGACGAAGTATGCCGACGGTGTTGACGTCCAGGTGGCGCTGGACTTTGGACAGCGGGACGTCTTCCAGCCGGTAATCATCATCGTAGTAGCCCGCATTGGCAACCACAACGTCGAGGTGGTGGATGTTCTCCGCCTCCTGGAGGTATCGGACGGCTTCGTGGGCGTCGGTGTCCGATTGAGCGTCGATCTTGACTAGGATGAGGCGGGATCCTTCGCCGGCGGGGAGGGCGAGGAGAGTGTGCGCTGCAGCGGCGGAGGGATCGCGCACGGCGGCGATAACGGTGCAATTGGGGCGCGAGACGAGGATCCTGGCAAGGCCGTGGCCGATTCCTGTGTTATTTCCGGTTGCACCATGGTCAGTATACATACAGAGGAGTGTGTGCGTCGAGGTACAGTACCCCAACCCCAGCTCTAAGCGGGGACAAGGGGAGTCGTGGCTCTTGCTTGTAAACATACCTCGACTTGCTCCTGTGATCAGATAAACGGTCGATGTCATGGCGATAATGGGGACTTGAAGATATGTTTCTTGCGTGACTTGGATCTCTTTATGTAGTATTAGTAGAAGAGAAGATGTGGGCTAAGAGCACGTCTTATGGAAGCATAGGAATATGGCTTATATACTTCAAAACCTCAGCCGACTAGCGTCCTTATGGTTAGACTGTTTTTAGATAAGCCACGGATTCGCACAGAACTACACTAGGCTCCATAATGGTACGCCTGAGTGAATTGTCTCGAGACCGTCAGCCCTCACTGCGGGTTCGTCGAATCTCCTTGGAGGAAGGCTTATTCGCAAATGGTCCAAAACAGATACGCTCAAATCTAGACTACATGCAAGAAAATCATTGCTGAAATCGTTGAAGCACTAGTTCTTTTGTTTGTACAATACATGCCATGACGCCAAGCGCGAATTCCTAAGACCACCCAACACTCTTTTCTTAGAGGGTCATTCATATTGAATCATGACTAATTAAGGTCCCAAAAGAGAAGGGCGCGGAAGCAAGCAAGCAGATCTTAAGAGAAGTGAAGTTCGGATAAATGTGGGATAACATTTGGAGTTGATGTTCATGTCTAATCTGGATTTGTTGAGACTAGGTATGTGCAAAGTTGACGAATGCAAAGTCGAAGGAAGAAGCCTACTCCCAAACGTTGGAGAACAGATCATCAGCCCCGCCAAACCCGCCAGCCGGTTTGGAGGAGTTGGACGTATTAGATGTGTTATTAGAGGTAACGGTAGTCGAAGAAATTGGTGCTGCACTGGTCCAACCACCGAAGTCCTCGTCAGCGGCGACTGTTGGGGTTGGCTTAGAAACCGCAGCCGGCGACGTCGGCGCTCCCCAGCCACCACCAAGATCATTGGCGGTTAGAGTGTCCGGAATCTTCATCATTGAAGATGCAGCAGATTGTGCCGGAGCAGGAGCAGGCGTACTCCAGGCATTGCCTCCCCACGGGTCAATGCTGGACGGCGGAAGCGCACTAGCAACGGAGGCCGTTGGGGGCGAGAAGGCCGGTCTCGGTGCTGGGGCAGGCGCAGGGGCGGGTGTAAGGTTGAACGCAGATTTTAATTCGTTCTGTGAATTGGGAGCAGACACTGGAGGCGGGAGTGCAGCGGCCTTTGCTGGGGGGGAAGAGAAGCCGAGCAAATCATTTGAGAATGAGGACGACGGTGGGTTGGGCTTAGACGGAGCCGCGGAAGCGAAGCTAGTAAATCCCGAATCAAAGCCATTCGAAGAGAAAGACGCATTCCGGGACTGGGGCTTCGCTGGTGGCAGAGTAGGAGAAGTAAGGCTGTCGAACAAACTGCCGCCTCCCCCAGTACCGACGGAGAGAGTAGGTGAAGAGACCTTTGGAGCCGCTGGGGTAGACTTCATGCTGGCGAAGTTTGCAAGATTGGCGAATGGCGAAGGCTTCTCAGCCGGTTTGGCAGCCGGTTTGGCAGGCGGGGGAGAAGTGGTGGAGGGGATGCTCAGCCCGCTGAAAGCATCGGTCAAGCCACCGAAGTTGGATGATGACGCCGACTGGGGCGGCGGGGAAGTCAGATCTCCAAAGGAGGACGTGCGTTCATGCTGCATCGGAGCAGGCGTTGGCTTCGAATAAAGAGACAGGATAGATTGCTTCAGGTCCGGGCGAGACATTCCGGTTGAACCAGTAGGGGTGGATGCAGTGCTGGCCGGACGGCTGGTTGGCGCAGGCTGTGTGCTGCCGAAAAAGTCGAGTCCCAACAACGAATCTCCAGGACGGGCAGCAGGCTTAGCAGGGGGCGCAGACTGGGGCTGCTTGGGAGCCGCTCTAGTTGCAGGCTCCGTTGTACTGGGGCGCGCGGGAGGAGAGATATCGTCACCGAAGAGGTCGACGGAAGCTTGAGGACGATGATGGACGGCAGGTTGACTGGCCGTCGCCACTCGCTGGGATGCGGAGCGCTCAAGTTTGGCCTTCTCCTGGACAACTGCGAGGGGCTGGTGGACACTGAAGTCAGTTATCAATCCACTCCCTGGGGTACTCTCGTAGTCCCTTACCACGTCGTCATCACCATCACTTAGGGTCGAGGGATCGGGCATTGGACCATCCATAACCCATCTCTTCGACTCATACTTGGTTCTGATGAAGTTCTCAATCTTCCTGTTGTCGTGGTGTTTGTCAGACACAATATCTCCGCAAGCGATGGAGGGGTTCCGCTTACGCTTCCGAGGGGACGTGGCCGGGCGCCAACTTGGCTTCCCAATATCTGTTGGTGACAATTAGCCATCTGTAAGTCAATGCAATCCCAGAGAGAGCGGGAACACATACTTGTTTGCCCTAGCGTTACCCCATTTCACAACACTCTGAAGTTGTTCATCCGTCCATGAATCAAGATCTACGGACTTGACCCGACTGATATGCGTGCCCATGCCCCGGTGAATTCCCGAGCAACGGATACAGATGAAAATACCAAGATTCCATGATGCCCAGCGCGGGTCTATAGGCAAGGTATGTTAGCCTTTCCGGACTTCCGAATTTCCTTGCATTGAGTGCACAGTGCGGGGTGAAAGAAGAAAAGGGCCGGTGACCCCAAAAGTTCCGGAAGGTGGTCACATACGCTTGTTGCGCTTGCAATCAGCACATGTCTTGTTTTGTTCGAGTTTCAGCAGGCTCTTGATAACCTGTTGGTTTTGAGCAGCCTGAGACGGCGTGGCGCGTCGAGACATCACAGCGGAGGTCGCGATATCAATCAAGAGGCCGGGGTTAAGTAACAGGACTCAATAAAGGAGTTCAAAGGGGAGTTGAATCACGGACGTCAATCGGCACCAAGTGGCGGGATGCGGTGGGCGTCGGCCTGAGGCATAAAGGCGGTGAGTACACAATCTGGTCCGTCGCACGTGCCAGATCAGCTCTCGATATGTCCGAGATCACATGACATAGCTACAGTGACTCTGCAAATACCCAACGTGCTTCAACCCTGGGCTTGTAGGTTTCTAAGAGTGTACAATCCCACGAGCCGCTGTATCCTGCTACTAAGATCAAATTGGGCTATATCATTCTTATAAGCTCATGGTAGCATACTTCTAGACCTTCAATGGCTACATATTCCCCAAGTTGGGAAGCGCATTGAGTTTAGGTACGGTGCAGTGCATCATCCGTTGAATAGGATATCTACGACAGTGTCGCAGCACATCACTGAGAGATTAGGCAAGCTGGAAAGGAACGAAGAAAACCAGGGAAGAGCAGTAGTATACAGAAGCTATTATGCTGACTTCGCAGAATACATCAGAGCCCTTTCTGACAAGGGCTACTTGTACAGTCGATAAAGTTCCGATTTCCATGAACCCCATGCCAGCGCCCTGACCAGCCCTCTAGACTGAAAGTTGTTAAGTAGCGGGACAAAAAAACACACTGTCTCACAAACTCTAACATACCCAAATTCTGGAACTCAAGAGCAGTAAACAATCACTCCAGACTACCATCACCCACGCATCGCGCCAACGGATAAGTCTCACCCAGGCAAGTCGTCACCACTCCCTTGACCCAAGACAGCGTCCCTCCCTCAAGGTTGAAGCTCGCGTCGTTGAAGGAATCGGCCTGGTAATACTCGAATTGCCCGCTCCCCGGCTGGCCAGTGAAGACATAGCCTCTTTTTCGATGGGTCAAAGGGTTGCTCACGATTGCTCCCCACTTGTTGGCTGGGATGGTCATGGTGACCGTGCCAGTCACCGTGCTGGTTGTTGTCTCCTGGTAGCTGATGCTGGTGGACGCAGACAGGAAGTCCTTGACGAGAGTGAAGTCGGCCGACGTGCCTGTGGTGATGCTATTGGCGATCGACTGGCCAGCCTGGATGGCCACCGTGGCGGCGGCCTGGTTGGCGTGCACGATGGTCGACATGGCCACATCCCATCCGAGGAAGTCGAGATCAGGGAGCGGGATGATGAGCTCCGTGCCTGATCCGCGCTTCGTGATGTCGGATGGAGATGCCTTGGATTTGATCAGCCGTGGAAAGGCGCTATCGGTTGCCTCCGGTGAAAGGAAGGTCAGGCCTTGCAGGTACGAGGCCAACTCAGCCTTCTTGACGGTTGTTGTGGTGCCATTGCTCAGGAATATGACCGCCTCGTCGGGGCCACAGACAGCTGGCTGGGAGGGAATGGCCGTTGCAAGACATAGCGTTGCAGAGAAAAGTGGGAAGAGAGGAAGAACCTTCATGATTGATTGGAGTAACATGCGAAAGGGGAAAAAACCATGAAAGGGATAGACAGTACAATCTTGAATGAGCTGTGTCTTTGAACAATGAAGACTGGCAGGTATTTATATGCACGCATTGTGTACACAGGTAGTATCCATCACGTTTGCCAAATCTCATAGAAACCATACACTGGGCCATACAGAATATGGTCCTTACCGACCATCAGAGTAACAGAACTCCATTGGAGTGCCGCTGGGGACGATCAGCACGAGGCCAATCCTCCGAAAAAGGGCCGAAGGAAATCAGGGATCGACAGGCATCGGATGCGAGAGATAGATTGAGCATCCCATCAGACACTGCATGATGCTCGACTACATGAACCGCTCCCGGGCCCACTCGCGGAACCTTAATAGATGAGTTTGTTTCTCCGCCAATTCAACGGTCCCGGAAGTATCGGGTGCAATTATTCGTCCGATGTTGCAGCCAAGTGATCGTCGGCTTGGACTTAGGCTGAGACAGGCGATCCATGTTTATACATAGTCCTCAGCCCCAGATTAGGCGGCAGGAAGGTGAGACTTGATCTATCAGCGAGGAAGAACGAGTCCGACTCTCCCCATTAGCTGTCACCAGAACATTTTCAAGGATATTGTGATCATCATCGTGGACAGATAGAAGGGCCTTGGCAAGTAGTCTCGACATCGAGAGATGTGCTCTAACGAGTGGTCGCAACTCAATCTGCGGAAGAACATCGGAAAATTCGACCATGGCAGAGGATCGTTGGATGCGAACTGTGATGATCTTCAGTGATTGCTAGGATTGTAGCAGGCGGCAGAATAACCATATATTGAAGCACGTCCTATTCTCCTATACGAGAGTGGCAGAGCGCAACACAGAAATCACCTAATATCTATCAGTCTCTCTGCCTTCCATACTCAAGCTATCTTCTTACCAACTTGCACCAACCAACGGAACAATGAAGCAATTTATGACTCTGATCGTGGCTATCATGGCCACAGGGTAAGACCAGCCAATTCCCTCTTAGCCTTCCCAACACTCCATCACTAATTGCCGACAAGAGCCGCGGCCGACCTCCACTACACGGGGCTTTGCTACGACTCTCCCGGCCAGGATGTGGTAAGTCGAGCATCACCATCTCCTCCAACTAGAAACTTCTGAATCTCCTGACCCGGAATGAACAAACCATAGAAAGTATTCAACAAAGCCGCCACAGAGAAGGCCTGCACATATTACAAGAACCGTAATACCGGCAGCAAGCAATGGGACCAGTGCCCGGACTGCACACTCGAGAATGACCAAAGCCTGCTCTACTACTGCAAGTCCGAGGGTCAACACATTGGGGGTGATGAATTGTCCTACTACTGTGGTCTCGCCGGAGCAGCCGGTAGTCTAGCCTGGTAAAGGGTGGATGGAACCCCTCCGAGTCGTTAGCTTCACAAGCCGAATCAGGTTGTACATGATTGCGACATATTGCAATAATATCATCATCATACAACTGTAATAGTGTCAGAATATCCCAGAAAGAAAATTTTTATGAAAGAAAATTTTTATCCTCGCCTAAGACATTCCCAAACCAATGCCCCCAGACAGCCATAGCCCTCACCAAAACTCCCCCAACCCCTTCAACACCTTCCCACGATGATGTAGTTATTTTCCCTCTTTATCCTCCGCGAACCTCAAACTCACACTGTTCACACAATGCCTCTCATCCGTGGGCGTCGGATACCCCTCGCCCTTGAACACATGGCCCAGATGCCCGCCGCAGTTGCTACACACGATCTCCGTGCGCTGCATCCCAAACGAACTGTCGGTATGTCTCGTCACGGCCCCCGGCAGGGAATCAAAGTACGCAGGCCATCCGCACCCGGACTTGAACTTGTGGGTCGCCTTGTAGAGGGGCGCATCGCACCCCGCGCAATGGTAGATCCCTTGCGCCGCGAAGTGCTGGTCGTATTCGCCCGTGCCGGGCCGTTCGGTGCCCTTTTCGCGGAGGATGCGGAATTGTTCTTGATGCAAAAAAAAAGGTCAGTATTGTTTTGAGGAGGGGCAGAAGAGAGAAGTGTTTAGGTTGGGGACACTGGAGAGGACAGGTAGTTGAATGATTACCTGGGCTGAGGACGGCGCGCCATGCGTCATCACTGCGCTGATCCGGGTAGGACATGCTGCCGCTGTTTTCGGATTTGCTGCTGGTTGTGAAGAAGGAGCTGATGAAGGGGATTGCGGGGGCGGCTTGGAGGGTTCGCGGGCTAGAGATGGGGAAGGGAAATAATCGGAAAGAGGAAGAAGATGAAGGTGGAGGATGGGAGCGGAGGGGTAGCTTGAAGGTGCGGAGAAATATGGCTAAGCGCTGGAATCGCATCAGGAGATGGTGGAGTGAGAAAGCGAGTCGTTGGACTTTTTGTTCTTTTCTTTCTTCGTCGTTTAAATTTTCAACAAGAACAAGAACGATTGTCTGGGGAAGGTGGAAGAAGAAGATGTGAGGTTTAATTCATCTTATCGATCTTCTAAGCCGATGTTCGCCGCCGACTCCAATTTGCCGCAGCTTTTACGTCATCCGCACTGTGGAGTAAACGATCAATATGACATACTCATAAAACGATCATGGTACTCTTATATAGTCGCATTTTATTATACAGGCGATGGTCAGACTGTCGTATGTTCTATCTCAAGCTTGTATCTTCATCTAACCCGGATTCTAAGTTGAAACACCTGAAATTTCTCCCATAACGCCTTCCGTGCGGTAGATAGATCCAAGCGCCAATAGATGAACAACCCCAGGGTATCTTCGCAAGAACCAAAACATTGCAGCCCCAGACAAGAATCTATCAACGTTGTTTCATGACTCCAACGACCGTAAGAGAGCCCTCGCCTACTTCCACCCTCCATCCGTCTCGAACCAGCATCTTGCCAACGGCCGGACCTAGGCGGGATGTGCCATCGTGGCTGTGACGGCCCTTTCCGGTGACGATGTGGAAGCCTCCCTGAGCCCTCTCATAACTCGATCCTCCCATGAGCTTAGTGTCACCCAACGATTCCCACCAAGCGGAGACTCGTTCGCGGCTGATGCGGACGGCATCCTGCACAGACACCCCGTGGAGGTCAAGCCTGTTCGATGTAGACTGTCGGTCGACGAGAGCGTCCGCTGCAGCCGCGGCATTGCGCTTCGCCAATTCCAGATGGTCTCGGCCAACAGAGGAATAGTATGCAGCAGCCCCTCCCATCAAACGATCAGACTTTCCACGTCTATATGCCGTTGACGCCTTGGAAAATGCCTCCGCTCCCGCCGAAAAATGAACGTGTGCTGCACTTTTCACGTTTTCCAGATTATGGGCGAAGTGCGGTCCGGGGATTCGGGGTTCAGCCACTTCATCCTCGTCATCCAGGGGAGGAAGGGTTGATGTGATCTTGATCAGTTCAGACAAAGGGGCCCGTGACGTCTCAGGAACAGTCAGCATGACATCAGCTAGCTCTTTGGCTGCAGAGGGTATTTGCCGTGTAATGATGAGTAGTCCCGCAGATGTATCAGATGTAATCATAGGGAACTGTTGTGTTAGTTCAGACACCTGGGCAGCTAGCAGCTCATCAGTCTCGAGGCAATCCTTGGATCCAGGAGCATATGTTTTCGCCAGTGCCTGTATCGTGGTTGGCAACGACGCCCCGTTGGCATGGTATGCCGACCGGATCCTTTCCTTGGGGAGGACCGCCGATGTAAGCGAGTATATGAACTCGACCTCCTTCTCCGCAGTTGCCCATATATTTGAGGTGGTGGAACTCGTTGACAGAGGTTCGCCGCAATTCGAGGCCCGAGCGTATTGGTCCCGTGCAAGGGCCTTTCCCTTCGGCTTACGCCTGCGACCTTTTTTTCTGACGGCTTCGGCACCCTGAAACCCATCCACGCCCTTTGGAACTGCGACTGTGATACCATCCTCATCAGGGATCTGCTCATCAAAGAAGGCATAGTTTAATAGCTCGTCCATGGCGCGATCGACATCACCACCAGCCTTCTGTAGTGTGTGCTTTATGGTAAAGCGATCTGTGGACCGGAACATCTCCGACAGATAGGCGATTTTGTCCTCATCGGTCGCGCCGTGAAGCGAAAGCGTTCCATCCGAGCGGACAATATACGACACATGATTTTTTCGCCCATTAGCGCTGGGGTCGTCAAGATTGAAACCAGACATGCCAGAAGTCAAGCTGGTAAGATCGGTCTCGCGCGAGGGCATCGTATCGGTGTGCGATGGCGAGCGCTGGCACGCCCCACCCATGTCAAAGCCGTTACTATCAGGACTCAATCCGCTGGTCCCAGAGGGATCAAACGGCAGATCCTCCTGCTCCCAAGCGGACAGTCTAAGTGCGTCTAGTATCCCACGAAGTTGTTCCACTTGTGTTTGATCCGTTAGATCAAAATCCGATGCAACCGCCGTGAGTAGAGCTGGATCCAAGGGAGGGCAGTATGCCTTTTCAAGCTCCTGAGCAACCAGTCAGTCATTAGCTATAAATTTGTCGGTAACCACAAACGAAGACGTGGAGTTAAACGGATGGATATGCATCTCCGCGGTAAAATTACCTGTAGAGGGCTGTCGCTTTGGTCTGCCATGTTTGCGGATGTTCAGACACGAGCAGGTTCTAATTATTTCCTTTCAATACATTTGTCTAAGTGCCCAAACCCGATCTGCTGGTATTCATTTCACGAATGGGGAAGCGACAGTGTGTTGAGGGGCACCGAAAGAAGGATGACTAAATCAAATGTTTGACATCATCTGGTCCTTCCGCCTTCGTTGCTGTGCTGCGTTATCGTGGATCACGTGCTTATCAGCCGAGGCTATCGAATGATAACCAAAAGGGGAAATGCACAGATCGCCCGCCGTCCGTCTATGGGACTACCAGCAAGCACACACCAGCCCATCAGAGCGAATCAGACATACAATGCAAAATAAAAGTGCGTATAGTAGCAAACAAGATCATAGAAGCGACAAGAGAACGGCAGAAGAATTTTCCAAACAGTATTTGCATTCTAAAAGCCTCCGAGTGGAGAAATGTGGTATAGTCTAATTATCGTTATAGCGTATGTTCATCGGCTTATTTATACTTGGCCATAAACTCGGAGTGGAACTTCACAATCCGCTGGGCCCAGTCTGTTCCAGGAGCCAAGAATGTCGTGCGGAAGTGCAGAGTGTTCTCCTTCTGTCCGAACCCGGAACCTGGAACCACACAGATACCGGTGGCATCAAGGAGCTGCAGGCAGTAAAATTCGTCTGCAGCCCGCTTCTCTGCAGCGGCAGCCTCGATTGCCTTAGGTGGGAGGTTAATAGTGGGGAAAAGGTACATGGCACCCTATAGATAAGTTAGAAGGGTTTCGTGATCTGCGGGAATATGGGCCGGGGTTTACCTGGGGTTCTTGACACTCGACGCCCTCCATCTTCTGGAAGGCTTCGTAGAGGGCCATAGCACGGCTTCTCAGTCCATCCTTGATGCCATTGTATTCCTTCTGGTACAGCTCGTAGCTAGGCTCTCCCTCCGTGGGAGGGTTCACCATCAACTCGACCAGGCACTGACCAATGACAGGCGGGCATAGCATGATGCTGACATACTTGTAGATCTGGGCAGCGACCTCGGGGTCGAAACCCACGAGCTCAAAGTAGCCACCGCGATGACCGCACTCGCCAACCATGCCCTTAGAGACACTGTGCAGGGAGACCAGCTCCACGTTGTCGTACTTGCCGGGCACCTCCTGCTGCAGCTGACGGAGTCTCTTCTTGAAGGAGATGAATTCGCCAGTGAAAACATTGGTCTGGTATACCTCGTCGGCAATGACCACTAGTCTCTCCTCAGCTGCAACGTCGAGAACGCTCTTGATGTCTTCGGCACTGAGAGAAGCGCCGGTGGGGTTACCGGGGTTGATAACAACGATAGCACGAACATCAGTGCCAGCGGCCTTGGCCTTTGACAGGTTCTCCTTGATCGCATTCACGTCAGTACCCCAAGCCTTCTGCTCATCGAGGAGGTAAGGAACACACTGCGCATCCAGCAGAGACAGAGTCGCCGTGTACAGGGGGTATTGAGGGATGGGGACAAGGACTCCGGCGGCGGGTCCATCACAGATAATGTTGAGGATCGTGCTCACACCCGATGAAGCACCAGCGGTCAAGTAAAGATCCTGGGAGTTAGCAGGAAATCCATCACGCTGCTCGATGAACTTGGCCACACTGTCCCGAATGACCGGTGCACCTTGGCTGTGACTGTAGGCACCAACGCTCTGAACATCCGCGAGCAAGACCTTAGCCCGGTCAATAACATCCTGTGGGTATCCAAAATTGGTTCGGAGAAGTTCCGGGTTTTCCAGCAACACGGGGTTCTCAAGAAGACTCAGGACTTGACGGAAGAAGGTGATGGGCTTCTGGTCCAGCTGTTGCGGGTTACCGATGTTGGCGAAGATAACGCTGTCGAACGGCAATGACTTATCCCCCTGAGCCAATCTCACGCGAAATTCCTCTGCCTTGGTAGCAATCTCACCGCGAACGGCATATTTGGCAGCCTTGACGTGGGGGTTAATGTTGTCCAAGGTCAAACGACGGGAGGAAACGGCGGTCAGAGTGCGTCTGGTGGTATGCGCCAATGTCGTTTGAGTCTGCATGGTCGAGTCTGTAAAGTAAGGTAGAGAGTGATTAGCAATGATGGGTTGAGAGTTGGGCAAGATCGTGACAAGGGGATTCATCCGCCATGGATGAAACTGTCACCCATTTGTATCCGGGGCGGGAGAAGAGACAACCCCAGTACATGCACTACCGAGTCATAGATGTCACGGGATGCGCGAGACGTGGGCGACTGACAAGACCCGAAGATCGATCGGGGAGGGATGGGAGGGCGTGTGAGGGGTTAGGTACGGTATATCGCGCAGGGTTGTCAGTGGTCACCGCCGAACATGTCCAATAATAGGGACCGTGGGCATAACCACTCGAGGCCCGAACGGAAAGCCAATACAACAACCGCCAATAACGGGCACATAGAAGACCAAGAGAAATCGACTTACCCGGGGAGACTCTGGGGATTCCCGCGGCTAGGCTTACCCGCGAGGAGAAAAGGCGCGGGGCCTGTTGCTGGCACGACAGCCATGCACCACTACTCGGCCGGGAAACTGAGCATCGCAGCGGAGTTGCCCGCAGGTGCGAGGCAAGTTTAAATTGCCAGCTCATGATCGGATCTCAATTTGCTCGATTCAACGCCGAATTCAGCCAATGGGACTGTGTAGGCACCTCTCCACCAACCGTTCGGGTGGACTCGTAAGGGGCCAAAGAGAAGAGTCTGGGGGGCCTAGTCTAGGACTAGAAGAGGATGCAATAGCCTGCACTGCGGTGACTGACGATTGACTGTGAATCACAACAATAACTCGGGATTCAAGACCCCAAGCAAGAAAAAAAACGCGGGAAATCCCCCTGGGCGGTGAGAGTCTCGGACTCCATGATTAGATGAGTCAGCTGCCTTATCTCAGCTCTCTTGGTCTCCACTCTCTTGATAGGAATAATCAGATAGGGAATCCAAAACATTGAGATGTGATGAAGGGTGGTTGAAAGGTCTGATCTACCGGTGGTTTTTGGTGGAAGAGGAGAAGTGTAAGAGGACAAATACAATACCCCAGGTACTAGACATTAGTGTCACGCTTGTGACATCAGGGGCACCCTCGCTCCCTCTTGTTCCATCGACCAACAGCGAATCCCTGGTCAAGAATTAATTCCATGGCAACTCATCATCCCACACTTGCGGCGGAGCTTCCCGACCGTCGGCAAATTTTCCGAGACAAGAACAGGATAGGGCAGAAAGAGAACTGACTGTATGCTCTCATAATCGAGTTGCCGTTTCTCCCTTCGAGAAGTGATCTCGTTAACTTGTCTCAGATCCGCCCCTGGACACATTAGGGCCGGTCCCTTCTGGTCCCTGTTCGAGCTTAGAGAGATGGATGGATGGATAGGCAATTCTCCCAGTCTGCCGACACAGTCATGGTGGATACTAGTACCACAAGCCATCTCTTACAAGTTACAACCTACCATGTGGACCTTTGAAAGCCACATGGACTATTTATTGACTGTACAACTACGAGCAAAATCTCACCACTGTCTCCGGCCGCCGCTCAACAACGGTTTGCCGATCAATGTTCGAGGTCATTTTCTCTCGCGTTATTATAATTATGATACACCAGCCTCGCTTGGTTTTGGCTCTAACATGGCTGGATGGTCAAGTTGGTCAAGTTGGTAAAGGAGATGATATAGATAAATCACTGGAACCTCTCATCTACATAATCATGAACCACATGGCGATCGACAAGGCCATATCTACGATTTAGCTGCGTTCACTACCCCGCAAACGCACGGCCTGGCCGTACTTCTGCAGCTTCGTGATCAGAGCATCACCGTGCTTTACCACATCCGCGTACTGCTTGTTCTTGTCATCCGGTCGGTTCGTTTCAATGATACCATTGACCCGGTCAATGGTGCATGCGATGCGGTTGCTGGCGATGAACTTGGCAAGATCCCTGCAATCGCGGGTTAGCGCTGTTTACCCGAGCACAATAGATAAGATACTCACCGATCCAAGAAGTCTACCGTCACACCGAAGTCGCTCGCCATGCTGTTCAGCCCAACAACGCGATAGCTTTGAAGAAGCTGTTGGTATGCACGCAGTCTCATCTCCCTCACAAACCAGGCGCGGTGTTCGTAGAGGTAACGATCCTGAGTAAGGAAGTTGTCTTCCACCGCCGCCAGAGACACGAAGAAGGACCGGTAGTTGCCGGTGTAAAGACTGTCAACCAGGTGAGCAAGAGGCGTGAAGTCGACAGGGGTTTCCGCCTCCGCTTGGACACCAGAGCCGCCGCCCAAGGCAGTCAGGTTGACTGCGGTCGTGGCGGTACCCGGGGTGACCCGCGAAACTGTAGCGTCCTTCATCTCTTCATCTTGAGCGCCGGGCCCGGCTGATGTCTCACCGGTCAGAGCGGCCAATCGATCTTCACCAGATCCAAGGATAGCCTTGATCTCAGGTGCGTCCACAACCTTAGCCTTGAAGTCGACTCGTTTCAGTGAATGAGAGCCAGCCAAGACCGAGTAAATGACTAAAGCGGAGTAACTGCAGAGTTCATAGCTGGTGAAAGTGGACAGACTGTCAAGCAGAAGAGGCGCAGCTTCGTTGTAGGAACGGATGGTGAGTAGGTGTAGACCCTTGTATGCCTTCAAACGATTCCGCCGATCCCAGTCACCACCGCTCTCAATGAGGGTGTTAGCTCTTTCGATGTTCTTCTTAACAGACAAGGCATCTCCGAAGAAGAGGCCGATGCGGATCATAGCGAGCATCAAATCAATCTTGGTACCGAGGAATGTCGTTTTCTCGAGGAGGGTTTCATGAGACTCGATAGCTTTGTCCTAAATGCTTTTGCATCAGCCTTGTGACTTGGAGATGGTAAGATGACGACCCTGGAGCTTGAGTAACACACCTTATCTCCCACCCGTGCCCAGAATTCAGCACGTTTACCCCGTGCGGCGAGCACCTCGGTCTCTCCGGCTGCTTCTTCTGCCTCATCCTCCTCTTTCTGAAAACCCTCCAGCTCTTTCCGGTTATCTTCAACCAACGACTGGTACAGGGATTCGTCCCATGGGAAGTCGATTTTCTGGGATGACTTCCGGGAGGCAAGAAGGTTCGACGTAATCGCGGACTTGGCTGGGTGCTGCGCAACTCCCTCGCCAGAGTGATTCAGGATACCTTCAACGGGATGAGCAAGATGGCGGTAGAATGGGGCCATTCTTCGCTCTGTGATGGCATCTTGGATTTTCTTTAGTGATGTCTGTCGCACCGTTTGGGGGCAAGCTGGGTTGGAGATGTTGAAGACATGTTGGGCGAGAACGAGATCGGGGTACTTTATGTACTGCGGATCGGACCCCATGTTGGCGGTAAAGATATGAGCAAGCAACCCGAGATAATTTAGGGTGGTATAAGATTGTTGAGAGAGCTATATTGAAGAGGCTAGATGTTCGTTGTCCAAGGTATCTGTTGACAGGATGATGAACGAAGGCGGATACATCACCGATGGACCGTAGCTGACCCGAGCTCAGCTGGAGAAAGTATTTTCCGGTGCCGACACAGACTCTCCACCCTCATTCCGGAGAAATCGAATTCTGGGTGAATTACTACCATGTACAGTACTTTGACTAATTCCAATAGATATGCTCTCATTCGATGCTTGGTATGTAAAGTACTGGCGATCATTGACTTTTGAAGTCTTACAGGGCTCAGAAAGCTATATCAGATTGACAACTTACCTCGAATCACTTTCTCTTTCCCTTGCAAAGCAAAAAAGAAAATAGGGCTCAAATCATGGTACAATACCACAATATCGATAAAGAGTATGAACAGTGAGCTTAACCCCAGCTAGTAGTCAATGGTACCTGTATTGAACGGTCCATGGTTTTTTTCGTGGCTCTTGATTATTCTCGTGCTAGTGGTACTATTTGTTCACCACTGCATCTCCATGAGTCCCGAGATCCTAATTACTGGCCATGGCAAATACTAGGTGTTGTCCAGCATTGGGGTCTGCAGTACGCGATATATATATGATCCAGGGCCTTGGTGAAGAATATCTCTCGTACACACCTGATCTTACTGATCATTAATCTCGATCATTGATTTCAAGCCTACGTCGAGAAGAATAGAAGAGTCATTCAAACGACTCTGTAGCCTCAATCCCAGCTCTTAAGCTACTACATCCAAACTGATGTTCTACTAATCTACTAGTGCAGTTCATATAGGCTTATCGGTGCTTGTAGCTTATTGCAGCCACCAATTTGTGGTTGGTCTTCTTGCCAGTATACTTGCATAATCGCAGGCTTTCGCAGCTGAGCTAACGCTAGTTGTACCTGAGGCAGGTGAGCCGGTGAGGGAGGCCCTATAAGTACGATCACATGGGAACCAGGCTATAGAACCTAGCTAGTACTCCTCAACGATGGGCCACCGGAATCCTCGAATACAACATGCGATTCGATAGGATTCGACAAGACGCAGGTGGAGCGTCTTCGACTTTCCATTTTGGTACAGTTGGGCGGCTGAAGACGGGGAAGTTGAAGGGAAGCTTGAAGTGCAACCCCACTCTTCCACCGCTTAACCCGCGGTAATCATGCGCTAAGGCCCGCTAAGGAGGAGGGGCCATTCGGAGTACATCCTGGCGATTTCGCTAAACGTTCGAGCAACCTGGATGGATGGTGGCACTGGAATAGCATGGATCTGGTAGGAATCCAGATCTCTGCCAGGTGTGGCCTTGATGTGCCCTCATCACGAGCGTCTTTTGATTCCCCGCCTGTAGAAAGTTTTTTTTCCCCTTCCCTTTGCCTTTTTCTCAGACCTTCTTGTCTTCGCATCCGTCCTTGCTATCTTGTTTTTTTACCCAACTCGAAGGTGCCTCTATACTGTAGTTGAGAATCGACTTTTCGAACTTGCACGTGCTCACTTTCCCTCCTTGCGTCGACTTGTTCTTCAACGGATAGTTGCACCACGCCCTCAACTGCCCCTTGCTTACTTCAAACTTCCTTTTCTATACGTGACCGTTTTCCTGCAACAACAACAAAATGTCAGACGACAAAGAGAAAGGAACCGTAGAGTCGAAGACGGATATCAAGGCAGATGTCCAGGCACCGGTCGATGCAGTCTCAGGCTCTCGTGAGGTGCCCTTGGATGCGAATCTGGCAGGCAAGAGTCGTTGGGAGCGCAGTTGGCCCACCATTGCCTGTGGTGCTGGGCTTTTTTCTGATGGATATCTCAATGGTGTATGTGGATTCTTGACTCTGATGCATGATTCTTTGCCTCCATCGGCTTAATGCTCGAATTGACTTTGCTGACCACGTCTCCAGATAATCGGACCTGTCAATACCATACTCAAGAGACTTTATCCGACTGAATATGCCAACTCGCCCGCAAGCCAGAACGTTTCATCAATCACTTTTGCGGGAACAGTGGTTGGTATGCTGATATTTGGATACACAAGTGATCATTGGTCACGTAAATGGTCGTTGATGATATCCACTATCATTCTGTTCATCTTCGCTGCTTTATGTGCTGGTGCATACGGCTATAACAACAGTCACTATGGCCTGTTTGCCGCATTGACAGCCTACCGTTTCTTCTTGGGAATAGGAATCGGTGGGGAATATCCAGCAGGAAGTGTGGCCTGCGCCGAGAACACCGGGGAATTGAAGCAAGGTCATCGCAATCGATGGTTTGTCATGTTTACCAATTTTCAGATTGACTTTGCATATGTCATTTCTGCATTGGTTTCCATGATATTGGTTTTGATTTTCACCGAGGATCACCTACGCGCAGTGTGGCGTGTTGGGTTGGGATTGGGTGTAATTCCCCCTCTTAGTCTGATGTATTTGCGATTGAAGCTTGAAGAGCCTGAAGAGTTCGACCGAGAGCGCATGCACACTTTCCCTTTATGGCTAATTGTGAAGTGAGTACAACTTTTATCATTCTATCATAGTGTCCCATATCTCCTCTCCAGCGGTCTTTCACCAATCACCGCAAGCCACATACGTGTTGACTAATTCCTGGACAGGTTCTACTGGAAGCGTTTGGTTCGTTCCCTTCTTCTTTCTATGAGGTAAAAGGTGTATGGCTAACCGCAGCAAGGCTGTGCTCTCCCTCATCTGGTTCCTGTATGACTTCTCTTCCTATTCATTCAGCATATACTCCTCAGACTGGTTAGCCATTATCCTAGGGGATAGTGCTCCCCTTTGGAAGAGCTTCGGTTGGACTACTTTGACCTACACATTCTACATTCCAGGATCCTTTCTTGGTAGTCTGTCCAGTGACTGGATTGGGCCCCGCAACACTTTGGCTATTGGCGTACTTTTCCAGGGTATCGTTGGATTCATCATGTCCGGCTGCTATGAGTATCTTTCGACCCCAAAGAATGTCGCGGCGTTTGTCGTGGTCTTCGGGTAAGGCAATTGGACTACTAGAGGTTCTGTACACCCACTGACGTGGCCCACTAGAATCTTTTCCAGCCTTGGGGAATTCGGTCCCGGTGATAACATCGGCCTTTGCTGTGCGAAAAGCAGCGCAACCGCGGTCAGAGGTCAATTCTATGCCATCGCTGCTGCTTTTGGAAAGATCGGTGCTTTTGTGGGCACTTATGTGATTCCAATCATACAGAAAAACGCCCCAAACCCAGTCCGCAGCGGGCAGGATCCGTTCTTCGTCTCGAGCTCCCTGTGCATCTTCAGCGCGGCGTTGGCATACTTCCTTTTGCCACAGATTGGCCAGGTATGTGATCACTGCTGGGTCACTTTTATTTTGATGATAATGGGTTAGATTCTTGTGCTAACCTCATTTTGCTTTCGCTAGGACACAATCACCGAAGAAGATGCTAAATTCCGTGCTTATCTCGAGTCTCATGGATATGACACAAGCCTGATGGGGACCCATGAGAGGCCTGAGGAGCAGTAAGCTAAATTTTTGACCCTGCACTGACCTGTCAACGCGTATGGTGGGCGCACTATCACCCAGCCAAAACCTTGCCCACTGAGCGCCATTCATTCCTATGCTTGCACAATATTTGCAGCCCATTTGACGCCCTTTGCGACATTTAGTCTTGATGAGCCCAAGCGACGAATGCAGCGAGCCCATCCACACCCTAAAAAACTCAGAGAGCGAACCCCAAGCAACAAATTGAGCGAACGATGCCCAGAAGCGCGAAATGGTAGATGATATTTGCTGCGGTCACCGCAACAACATCGCTCAGACCGATGATTCATGTATTTATGGACACAAACCTAATGACCATCATGTCCTCCATGTAGTATATAATGGATTGCTGAAACACTAAGAATCAAACAATGGCAACCGGACGAGCTCTTATACTTCTTTAGGCCGTTCAGGTGAGGTCTGGCCCATAGCTGGGTGATAGTTATAATTTATGCTGTATAACAAAAGCCACCCCAGAGAGCTGTGGAGATTACAGAGTCATGCCGTTATGGCCTTTGAGGGCAAAAATGATGTGAAATGAGAAGCCGACAAAGAGTCTCGTGACCAGAGCACACATGACGGTAGTTGGTGGTCAAACATTGGTCTACTCCCGTTTGTTATCAGAAGCACCGAGCAACCGAGGTTTGTTGAGTGGACGGGCAGAGCACAAGACGAACCCTTCCTTCTCTCCCGCCCGTCGATCCCCGGTCATTTACCGACCCCAGCATCCATCATTCATCCCACCCTCTCTCTCCCCATCGCTTCTTCCCCAGAACTTATTCTAGTCCTCTCCCCTCTTTCCCGTCTACTCGTTGCTTCTCCGTGTGACGTGTAACACCGATCTTCATATCCTCCGTCCCTCATCCATCAGCTGGCCTGTCCTCTTTCACATACCGCTTATCTCTCCACGAGCTGACAGCTGCCGGAATCCATCTCCCGCTATCGGCCGACATCCTCTTCTTAATCCCAACGCACAGAGATCCCCATCCTGAAAATGGTTGCTGACGCCCTGGTCTATCACCCTGCTGTAGCGCATTATTTGCGCTTTGTTGCGACAACTGGTATGTGAGATGCATCCATTGTACAGTGCTCAGACATGTTTCTATCGCGTGAAGCTCGAAATTGGGGAGCCGCAAGTTCCCGACCTCGCTTTCCCACCGTCTGTTGACTTGAGCATTCCTGCTACCCTGGTCTCGCGCGTGTCTGTTCTTCTTTCTCAATCTAATTATTTCTCCTTGAATCATAGTTGGTCGCGATAAGATTCTCCGCACCCTGCAATATTTCTCTCGTTTCTATGCCTGGTACTTGTACCGCACCAACCGCCCGCAGTCTGCCATCGATCCCTATAATGCTATCAAGAAGCAGTTCGGAACCACGCGTAAGATCCTCAGAATCGGAAAGTTTGTTGAACACTTGAAGGCTGCCGCGCTGGCCTCCGACAACAAGAACCCGATCGACCCAGTACTTCGCTACCTTGCGGTTGGTCGGCAGCTTGGTTATGCTGGGTACTTGTCTCTTGATACCATCACGGTTGTGGACGCGATTGGTGTGCGCAAACTTGCTTCCATGAAACGACTGCAGGACTCGGCCTATCGCTCGTGGATGGCAGGACTGGCGTGCAGCGCGGTTGCTAGTTTGTATACCCTCTTCCGGCTGAGGGAGAAGGCGAAGACCCTTGATCTTAAGGAGGGTGAGGGTGTTGTGGAGGCGAAAAAGCTTGAGAAGTATGCGAATCCGTAACGAGACTGTCTGGTCGGGTTCTTAACTGAACGCTAACATCTTTGTCTAGGGAACGCTCCACAGCTCGTATTCAGCTGATCTCCGACCTGTGCGACTTGACTGTTCCTGTGTCTGCTCTTGGTCTTGCTGCACTTGATGATGGTCTCGTTGGTATTGCAGGAACGGTCAGCAGTTTGATTGGTGTCTGGTCGCAGTGGCGAAAGACTGCTTAGACAACGGATGCTAAGTTCTCTCCATGCAAAGGCTTCAAGTAAGCGTGGATTTTGAGGTTAGCCGCTCAATCACCGAATCGTCTTCTTTCTTCCAAGTTTCCTTGTCACCGAAAACCCATGCTGAGTAAAGGCGTGAAGCCAGGGAGATTTATTATTCATCTTCGAACATAGGAAAGCCTGGGTTTTATGCACTGGAATATTCCTAGTTGAGATTCTGCCCTGCAACGCAGGCTTCTGTTATTCCATATGTGTAGCCTAAGATTTATTCCCCTTTCTTGCGGTCAAATGAAGCTTTGAACCATGAAGCCACAAGAGTCCTCTGATTCTGCGATTCTGCGATTCTGCGATCGAAAGAGATCGTGTACATGTTGTCATTTCCTATTCAATGTGTATATACTATAAATATCTTGACTTGTTCTTGGCTCACCAAATATGGTGAAAATACCGCTGTGGTCCAGAGTTGCAGTCCGCAAGGTGCTCGCGGGTTTGCGGCTACTTGCAGCCAGTGACTCCTGACTTGGGTCTCGAAACCATCTTCTTGTCATCGACCATGTCAAACCCGACATTGGCTGAATTTGCACGAGAATCCCGGCAGGCGTCGCTTTGGCTGGAGCCTGGATGCTAGATGTGCAATCTGTCAGAAACCTGAGTGGCTTTTATCGGGATCTGCGCCAGGACGCCCACTGGGTGTCTTATCCAGACATTCTATGTCATTTGATGACACTAACCCAGACGAGAGTCAGTCAAGGCTCTTTAAAAGGCGATGCTCAACGTACAAGTGGACTATTGGTCAAGAAGAGTGATATATTGGACGCCAAAACAATATCTCCAAAGCATGTCCCGCTATCGCAAGGCCTTGTTGTCATCATCAAGTTGTCCTAAGTTCGTTATTTGTCAATCAGTAAGACATGGACCTGAGACGCAAACTGTCATTCTCAGTGCAGGCACACTTACGCAATCTGGTTTAGATTCTCCCTTGACTCCTTGTTTCGCCCTGTGATCCTTACTGGAACTGAAATGTGACACCACCGATTTGGGCCATTTCTATGCACTCGTATGGCAAACCAAACAGTCAGATTTACAGAGGGTTACGCCACCTGCCGGCTTGGCACAGACCTGTCCGATTAAGAAGATCTGACTTTCTGCTGTCGTCCGTTTCCTGATTGTGCTAAATCGATAGCCCGTCACGAACAAGCAATCCCTGGGATATCCGCATAACAACCCGAGAGTCTAAACATGCTGGCATGCACGCTTACGGCTTCTTGATAATGACTGGCATGACCACCTACGTACCTTAGAAAGAGATACGCCGATTATGGCGAGTGAGCGCGGCCAAGCTTTGCAGCAGCATTGCTTCCTGCAAGGGAGGCGTATGGCGACCCACAGCAATCGCACCAATCTAAGTGTGAGGGATAACACACAGTGCCCCTCGATCCTTTTACAGGGATATCGAAGGGCAGCTGGTCTCAATGTGGTGCTGTGTGGGATGTTTGCCCTAGGACCTTCCGCGCCGCTCATCAGATTCTAGTTGAATTGTGGCGCCTCCTTATACAAATACCTCCTGATACACATGCTGTTTTCAGTTGCTTGAATATTGAGATCCGCTTACGCCAAAATCTCAGCAAGAAGCTCATTTCTTTTGCCAGAAACTCTCTGTTGCTGGTCGAACTATAAAGGTGCTTCTCAAGGCACGGGCGCCATGCTGCATCCAATTCTTGACCTCAGCAACTTCAATATCGTCGTCTCTGTTATAGGTGAGAAGCGCCGGAACCAACTAATATACAAAGCGCAACAACTTACTGTGGTAAAGCGTTTTATATTCTCATTTTCGGATATGTTTCGCTCAGAATCAAGCAGAGGTGGTACCTCGGGGAAGCCTGTATGAACCCAAGATTCGCACTGATTTAACCTGATACTGATTCTCAACTAGTGCCAGCCTTTTTAATTGGTGTCTCGCTAGGGCCGATCGGCGCTAGGTTCCTGAACATATCTCAGTGGGGAGGAGGGGATGACGATTACCGCAGTGACATCGCGTTTGTAAATTCAACTCTGATAAGCTATTAATAGATCGATACTGATGTTAGCAGAACCTGACACGCCTAGTGATTGGCATACAATTGGTAAAAGCTGGATATCAATTGCCCAAGAGATACATAAGACAGCGTCTCTGCGAACTGGCTATATGTCTTCTTCCGCTCATGACTATAGCATGGTTTGCAACATCTGCATGTATCTTGCTTGCGATACCCAGTATATCCTTTGTACGTTCACTGGAACTTCAACAGCCCAGGCACCAGCCTATAAGACTGTGCTGACCGTCTCGTGTGTAGCTTTCAGCGCTTATTATAAGCGCTTGCGTGACTTGCACGGACCCTGTTCTATCTCAAGCCATTGCAAAAGGTCCCTTTGCAGACAACTATGTTCGTCGACCACTTCGAGAGTTTATTTCGGCCGAGGCAGGGGCAAATGATGGCTTCGGTTTTCCATTTCTGCTGCTTGCGCTTTCCTTGTTGCGTTACGCAGAAGCGCCTGAAAACACCGCTAGCCTGGAGGACTTCGATCTGGAGCGAGGCATTCCCGATTCACTCGGCGCAACGAGCGCAGGGCGCTTTGGTGGAGGAGTCGGCCCTGCGTTGAAACATTGGGCCGTGGAGGGAGTCCTGTACATGATTTTCCTGGGTGCCTCCTACGGCGCCTTTGTCGGCTTCACTTGCCAGAAGCTAGTCAAGGGCGCATCCAAGCGAAGATGGATCGATAATGAAAGCTTTACTCTGGTCCCTGTGGCAATTGGCATGCTCATTGTTGGGACGTGCGGCTGTTTTGGATCCGATGAAACACTTGCCTGCTTCATAGCTGGGAGTGTGCTCAACTGGGATGGCCTTTACCAGGCTGAGATGCAGGCCCGGCATGATTCTTTCAATTCGACAATCGAGACTTTGCTGAACACTGCAGCTTTCATGTATCTTGGTGCAGTCATGCCATGGGACCAGTTTCATAGACCCCATGACACTGGGATATCCATCTGGCGCTTGCTTGGACTCGGCTTTTTAATCCTTATCTTTCGTCGCATTCCCGCCATTATCACAGGATACAAGTTCATGCCCAAGGTCTGCAGTGATTGGAAAGAAGCGTTGTTTTTGGGCTACTTCGGACCGATCGGTAAGCAGCGCTCCCCCCAGGATAACGTTCGTTCTCAGGCTCATGCTCCTTGGCAGGTATCGGTGCTATCGCATATGTGGAGTATGCTCGCCGCCTCTTTCCCTCCCCAGGCGAAAGTGACACTGAGATTAACAATCTGACCGCCGCTATGACACCAGGTAAGACTACACATCATTATTATTTGCAATTGATTCGCACCTAACCGCAGTCTGCGCAGTTGTCTACTGGTTGGTGCTGTTCTCCATCGTTGTCCATGGACTGTCGGTACCTGCGCTTGATGCGCTCTACAAGTTTTTCGGCGTGTGCAAGATTCGTGACCATCCGGTGGCGGTTGCTCTGCTCTCAGATAATGAAGCCCTCCCCAATAATTGCTCAGTTGATCCTCAGCGGCATTCGATGATTGTCAACAACCGCTTCTCGCGGCCGTCTGACAGCGACACTGACGGGCAAAATGGCCAAGTACGGAAAGAATCAGGAACGATGACTCGACTAAGCGAGGATAGTCCGCTCAATGGGAGCAATGAGCATTTGGATATCCCCTTATTTAGCCACCGAGCAGGAGGCTCAGCCACCGTTCGGGCTATTGTCTGAAAGGATGTCCTGTCCTACTCGATATGGACGAAGAAAGGAGATGGAACGAAAGACGCGCATTCGTTCATTCATTTCATTCATGCATTCATCGTGCCATGCCAGCTCCATACATATCAGTTCATATTATGTCCAGTCCATATTATGTCCAGACCATCGACCATTCGCCGCTGACTTGATACTGAGATTGTGATCTGCGATCTCGAGGCGATTTGAAAACAACCCCGCGAAGCCAGGAGGACGACTTCAGACAGGGCAGGTCTAGTGGCATGAATAAGAGGTTGAACAAAAGACCAGACGAGATGTATGCCATACCTTTCCGCAAGAGCCGCAGGTCTTCACTTCGCCAGCGATGGTAGCACCGCAAGAGGGGCAGGAGTTGTGGCCCATTTTTGCAAGATTTGTTTCTGTTTGGAGTCGGTGAGGGGCTGTGGTTGGATGTGCGAGTTGACCTGGAGGGGTCTGGTTACACACAAGATGGGGATATTGGGTCAGCGTACCTTGAGGTGAAGGAAGACCAATGATCGCGAAGATGAGAAATGCAAAACGAAGCGACTTGAGGTGGTGAAAAAAATGAGAACAGGAATAAACAGCCTTCAGCCTTGAGCTGTCGTTTGTTTACCCCGCCGCGTGATCCAGGCTGATGTACCCGCTTTCCCGCCGTTGTGATTGGCTGTGGTGCTGATAAGGTCGGACTCATAGTGATTCTCACCAATATCACTGCATATAGCACCACCACCCTCCCCAACTACTTGTCGATATCATATAAAGCCCTCTGACTGCATTACTGTACAGGAGCTCTGCGCCTGGGCATGCGCAGAGTGAAACCTCAATCGGGAGCCCCTCACTCCAACCCCAATCAAGGCCGCGTCTAGATATATATCTACATTTCTTATAGGAGAGTCGGGTGCCTTGGGTTGGCGATCTCACTACCTCCGCTGGATTCAGAATTTACTCCACGCCGGGGGCTTTTCGAAATCGCATGCATTTAGCAGTATCGACGCTGCAGGGGCTTCACCTGGCCATTCTAAGCTCAATGCTCACAACTACCTCGTCGAATTCGGCCCCTATGGGAGACGATGAGTTCGGCAAGCAGGGGCAGCAGATGTGGGGGTCCCTTCATGCGAATATCAGGATGAACATGTGTTTCTTACGTGGGCAAGTCGATGTCTACATTGCCGATCATGGCCGATTACAAAGAGATAAGTGGGGAGCTATCTCGTGGCTGCATGCTGAATCTGCCACCATGCACTCACATAGTCGAGTAGGTGCCTGGAGATTGTAAATCGGTCCTTGGCGCGAAGTATGCCCCTCATGTGTTCGGCATACTTCGATCAAGAAGGCCTACAATCCCTAGGTAGCTGAGCTGGCTATTGGAGCTGCCTGGTGATCAAAATATTAAGACTCAGTCCCTTAGATCATTGCGGTAAATGGTAGCCAGCTGGCGACGGCGGTAAGGACGATGGGACTGCTAACATCTACAATCTCAACTCGGAGGGCACCCAGGGTTTGTGGGTCATTGAAATATTCATTTAGCAGCAGATCATGGCATCTCAAGCGCGGGATGCTTTATGATAGCATATTGAGGTTTTGTTCATCACAAGGTTGCATAATGAACCCTTATCCTCATGTACGCAAACATCTTTCTGGTAATTTCTAACCACCATCTATGTGAACTTGTATCTAATGTAGACCACAGCTTCAGTCATGATATTACGCCACTAATTCGCAGTGTGTTCTGCATCGTGGGCGGAACGAGAAGGATGGGGTCTGAACCTGAGGCGACTGTGCTCGAGGCATGATACGGGCTCACGATATGCGAGGTTTCATCGCGAGTCCATTTTCTGCAAGCCTCAAGTCGCCCCCAGAGATCTATCTTCAAGGTCAGGCGATCACAATCGATGAGAAAGTTCTTCAGTCTAGACTCTCCCCCGGAATGGAGCCAACCAAGACATGCCAAAAATATGTCTTCCATCTCCACAAAACTCGGCAAAGCTCCACTAGGCTCCCGACTTCCAGTCTAGAGCTCCGCCGGGGAAGGACTGTGGTGAGTTGTGACTCAGCTACGTAAGTTCAGTTAGCGTGACGAAATCTTGTACCTTCTTTCTCAGGAGGTTCGTCATAGATGGTTAATCACATAGTTGAACTACATGTCTGAATCCACAAAGAAAGGGATAATAGTAGCAGTAGTCTTTTGTCCAGGTACTGTATGTACACACCGCTAGAGGCCGTTCGTTACCGAGATGTTCACTCGGTACTGCATGCAGTCCGCCGGCGCATTCTTCCCTTTCCTAAAACTTCCGGCCGAGGGGGCAAAAGGGGGAATTTTGTCCCCACATCCCGCTGACTGGGGGAAGGATTGCCTCGGGGAGGTCGGGGAAATCACGAGCACGTGGATGATTGTTGTTTTCGGGAATAGCCTCGCCTTGGCTTGAGGGAAAATGGAACTTTTGTTTATCCAGTTAAGCGTACCGCTTGAAGCTCTCCTGCTGACTTTCTCACCTGTCGTGGGTTCTTGCTTGGCAGACAATGCTTTGTTGATTCGGGTTGGTTTAACCCGGATGATCAATTGGTTTCGTACAGGGTAGCGGTTGACGCGCGTGATGGGGGATTTTGATTGCCACGCGCCTGGGGGGGGTCGAGACTTTTTTTTTTTTTTGGCTAAGGAGGATATTGTATGCAGGGACACGGATGGGAATACGTGGTGGTGCATTACTCATTTTCGTCTGTAGTTGATTGTTGGGTAGGTAGGTGTATCTCTCGTGTGAGGAACACGAGGACCGTATACAATGTGAATGTAAAGAACGATGTTTCTGTCGTCATTGTTGAATGACTTCCGTTCTTGGGCAAGTTTCCTAACGGAAACCGGGAAAAAAAGGTCGCCAGGCGAAAAAAAAAGGACGAGAACATCCGGGGAACTGGCCCGTGTTTTCTGGTCGGATGCGGGGTACAGATTTGAAGACCCGACCTTCCTTTCCGACCGGCTATGCCTGCCTGCCTGCCTGCCTGCCCAAACGTACCAACTACACCTCTATCAGTGCTCTGGTCCGGAAAAGTGTTTACGGCAGTTACACCTCTCCTCATCATACTCAGGCGGCTTTTCTGATGCCAAAGCCCTCGATCCGAGGGGACGTGCAGAAAAAAGCGCGCCTGACCCCTGCGTGGGCTTGATGTGCTGCGCCCCCAAAGGGGTGGTTTACTCTATGCTGTGTTAACAGTCGGTTGTCCTCGTGGAAAGTCGGGATCAAAGACTTTTGGGATGGACCTGTCATGTGCGTTGTTTTTCTTGTTCAGTACTTGCTTTTGGGTGTACGTTCGACGAGGGAAATCTCTTTAGTTTAGTGTGCATCAGTAGGGGTTTGTAGATACAAATTAATGCCTCAATTGGGGGTGTGCGTGATCTTAACATGAGCGATTTACATATGAGTACTCGTAGCGAAGACGGGGGGTGGCTTACGCGCAATGAACGCGGTATGACGAGCAAGTGCCTCAAGAATGGGTGCTTTCAGATCTTTTGCTTGATCTTCCCTCTTCTTTCTCGTGTCGTTCCCAAAATGGCCCTCAGGGGGGGGTTCACATCCCGAAAACTTGGAGTCAAAAAAAAAAAAGCACGGCAATATCTTCTGCCCACCGCATTTCATGATGGTGACGTTGGATTGTCAATCCGGAGAAGTGGACTTGTTTCATTGGCCGGACCGGGAAGGGCTTCGGAAGGCAGCTGACTCTCACTTGACCGAAAACAGACTAGAGCCATGGAGCAACACCCGAATTTCTCTCCCGGGAATTTCGTCACTCGGAAAGACTCCTGGGTCTGGGCCTGTAATTTGGGGCAATTGGGGCAATTTGGGGGTGGTTGCAGCCTCCGGGCGGTCAGATTATTACATAAGCCAAATGGGGCCTCCCCACCTTTTTTTTCGTTAGTGAATACGGAAGTGCTCCGTCGCGCCGAGGACGGACATTTTCTAATGAATTTTTTCTGCCAGGCCGGGCGCTTCTCTTGCTACCCAGTCGGGAATAGTCTGCGTTGATCTGGGAGAGGCTTAGAAGCCCATGCCGAGAAAAGGGAGGGCTTCCTTCCCCCGCAATTTCCATCATGGATCGTTTACCCATGTCCTGTAGGTTAATCGCCTCTAAAATCCTCGCCGGATGGTTGGCTATTCTTGAGTTGATTCAACGTCATCACTTCCCGCATTAACTGTCAGTTGATGGTCAAGAGAGAAAACTGACTCTGCGCTTCCGTGGGAGAAAGCTGGGAATAATCGCTTTCAGCTCGTAGGACTGACTGTCGGTTTCGTAATGGAAAATGCAGGGGGCTTGTTAAATACCTCGTTTGCAGAATGGACGGCTTTGATATCTCGAGCCTGTCACACCGATAGTACTGTGTAGAGAGAGTACGGCTAGTAGTACCTTTTTCTTATTTTTACTTCTCTAGCTACAATCAACTCAGCCCCTCCCATTCTCCCCCTCCTCCCTGTTGGCCTAGATTGAGACATTAACGCACTATCGGTTGATAACGTCTGAATTCTCAACTCTTGTTCCCGATCCTGCTGTTATTCCCTCACTTTTAGTTGGTGCATCCGCGCAGAGCACCCGGAACCACTTCGTGCCCACATCTCAGATCTCGGAACAACTCGGACTACCCCGAGAGGCAATTCTGCCTCTGTTTCGACTGTTTCGACTTTCCACGATAACCAACAACCGCTTCAGCCTTCAGCCCAGTCCTTAGCCCCGACATCTTCCGTGGAACTGTGGAGAAGGCTCATTACTCCAAAGATCCAAACCTCGTTGCGACCTGAATTCGCTGCCATCATGGCCCCAGCTGGAAACATTCATATACCCCCCGTTTCCCCCGTCGATCCTGGTCCTCTCTACACAGATTTCTTTCAACAGCAAGTTGCAAAGCAACGAAACAATAATTATCATTCTACTTCACTAAGAAACATGGTTGCTGCTTCTGTTAACCGCACTGCGCTGCACCCTGGTGGTGTTCAGTATGTCTTTCCTTCTTTCTTCCCCTTGTTTTGGTCTTGCGATGGTCTACTATTGTCTCGGTTGGGACATTGCAAGGACCTATATGACCTCATAACTTTCTGAGTGTTGTCGACAAAAGGTCGCTAACTTGAATGACTGTCCAGGCCGGGCAAGGGTCACACTGAGCTCGAGGAGGAACTCCACGAGCACGCCCACATTGACTATGACCGTGTTGCTATTGTACGATTCTTTGCGCCTCATCTATGAATCATAGCGCCAACTAACTGAAACAGATCGCCAACCCTGCTGTTCCTGCTCTTTACGAAGATGCTCTGGTCTACGAGACTGGTACTGCCATCACCTCCAGCGGTGCCTTGACTGCATACTCCGGTGCCAAGACTGGCCGTTCCCCCTCCGACAAGCGTATCGTCAAGGAGGAATCGTCTGAGAATGAGATCTGGTGGGGACCTGTCAACAAGCCCATGACTCCTGATGTAAGTTCTGGACTGGCGTATAATCGCGCATTGTCTCCCCCCCTTGCATGTCGGCTGGCTGCGGGACCAAGCCAAGCTTTAGGGCAGAGATCATGGCCGCAGTGCCACGGTAGCCCCCGGAAGATTAGCAAAATGCCTCAAATCATGTTCTGGTCTGAGGCATTTTCGATCTCCCGACTGCTGTGCAACAATGGTTTTCATTTCTGTCTGCGCTTGCGCTTGCACCATTGGAGCAGATTAAGTCACACCGGTGACGTCATCCGTATACCTTCAAGTCAAGCTAATTCGTGTCCCCAGGTTTGGCGTATCAACCGTGAGCGTGCTGTCGACTACCTTAACACCCGTAACCGCATCTATGTTATCGATGGTTTTGCCGGCTGGGATGAGAGATACCGCATCAGCGTCCGTGTCGTCTGCGCTCGCGCCTACCATGCTCTCTTCATGCGCAACATGCTCATCCGCCCCTCGCAAGAGGAGCTGAAGCACTTCCACCCCGACTATGTCATCTACAACGCCGGCTCTTTCCCCGCCAACCGCTTCACTGAGGGTATGACTTCTGCTACTTCCGTTGCCATCAACTTTGCCGAGAAGGAGATGGTCATTCTCGGTACCGAGTACGCCGGTGAGATGAAGAAGGGTGTCTTCACTGTCCTCTTCTACGAGATGCCCGTCAAGCACAACGTCCTTACTCTCCACTCCTCTGCCAACGAGGGCGAGAACGGTGATGTTACCGTCTTCTTCGGTCTGTCCGGAACCGGAAAGACCACTCTGTCTGCCGATCCCAAGCGTGCTTTGATCGGTGACGACGAGCACTGCTGGA